TCAGCAGGAGTTTGAAGATTTTTTTGTCTGAGATATTTCAGTGAACTGGATATTCACAAATTCTTATGAGTGTCTTGGTTTCACATTGATTATCAATGCAAATACAAAAGCAAGCAATATATGGGAATTTCCAGTTAGAACAAGCAGTTAGTCATGCCTTTTTTGTTCTGAATACAGATTACCTCTTTAGCTGGACCTTAATAAATACATATGGTTAATTAGATGTCAACTAGATTTTGGCATGGATATGCATTTTGTCTTAAGAATTTATTCGTGTAGTGTTATTGGGGTCTGCCCTCAGGTAATTATTGATTGCCTCTGATTAAAAACACATTTATATTCATAAGTTATTCATTGCCCACAGGTACAATAATGAAGTGAAACACATCAAGATTTTAACAAGAGATGGCTATTTTCACATTGCGGAAAATAGAAAATTTAAAAATTTAATGGTAAGCATTGATTAGACTTTTTACAATGTGCAACTTCTACCTAACAGCTGCAGGTAAAGTGTGTGGTACTTTGGTTTGCAGAATTACAAACAGTGCTGTGACAGAGATTTGAATCCTGTCTGTTCTTGCAAAGAGGATAATTTTTTTTATATGTATGATGTTTGCTCTGAGTGATTGTGGTACATGGTTAGAATTACGTATTTATATTTTGGACAAGAATGTATCCCTTACAGTAGTGTGGAAGAGAGGGTGTGCCTGAATCCCTTGTGTCAGCTCTCTGTGCAGTTCTGCTGAAAGTTTGCTGCCTTTTGAAGAGTTCTACTTTATGGTAGTGGTCCCCAAAGTAGCTGGGTGAAGGTCCTTCCCTTCCATACCCCAGCACGTGGGCACTGAAGAACAGAATGGTGCCTACTGCTGGGCATCAGAGTCCAGGAATCCTCTGGGAGAGCTGGAATGCTGGAATAGGAGCCCACCGCAGCGAGGTTCCAGTTTTATGTCAGAATTGTGTTGTACAGGGAAGAAATCTTTCTTGACCTTTCATTTGAAAGAATTTCCTGGTAGTTCATTTTGCTCGGGCAAGATGCGTAAATACAAGGTGTCTGAATAAATGACCTCAGTGCATTTGTAAAAATTTTACTGCTTAAGCATTTTCTGATGCATAGTTAAAGGAAGCTGGTTCAATATATTATATTTAGCTCGATCAGTCGGATTACACTTACACTGCAGCCTTCCTGCATGCGTCTCCCATTACTCTAAAACGATAAATAAAATCGAAGGACAACATAAACCAAGAATAGGGAGAGAACCTTTGAAAAGAGGAAGCCTTAGATATTATTTTAATTTAACCTCTGACACTCTGTACAGCAAGAGTATTCAATAAAGGATCAAGCAGAAGTCTCTGCTTGTTGTGACCCTGATTCAGTGAAGTGCCCGTTAGAATAGGAAGAACATGAATTTTCTGAATGGGGAAAGCACCAAGCTGCTTTCACACTCTGACGTGTGTTCCTTGCCACTTAACATCCAGGGAGATGGGCAGTGTTAGGGCCATCCACCCTGGGATCTTGCCACCGGTAGCAACAGAACTGATCATATTCCTCAAATATGAAATGATTGACCGCAGCACTATTTCCTTGGAAATCTGAATGTTAGTAAGTGGAGTGGGGTGACTGGGGAATTATTGGTAGCTGTGATGGGTTTATCCTAAACATATGGCTTTGTGCTTGTGTTTTTGAAGAGTGGATGCCTCCCAATCAAAGGGTCATTAATCAAATAGAATATATTTGCACTGAATTTTTTGTTCAATGATAATCTTATTCCAGACTCTGGATGCATCTGTGTGTGTTGCTGACATTGTTAGGACTAGTTCAAATTTAAGAGCCAATAACAGGAGCTGAAGACTGCAAAGGAAAAAAAACAAGGCTGCCAAGATTTTGATGGGTGCTACATTCTGTAGAATAGAAACTAAAGTAACTACCTTCAGTTTGTCATATCTCCTTGGTTACATAAACTATTTTAGCCCACTTAGTGTATATAGAAACACACAAATTATTGGTTTCAGCCCAAACAGAATGTGAAATGTTGGATTATTCGTATAGTACTAGCTGGAAAAAATGCATGAATTTTAACAGCAGTGCTTTGAAACTTTTAACGTGGTCCATGTAGCTGCTCATCAGGTTGCAGTTGGCCTGCCTGCTTTTACACATATATACTTAATCTGAGATCTGTGCATTTATGCATATTATCTGCATTACTACATGTGCAAGTTATTATCAGAGATATTATCTGATAAATGTATTTATGACTGGATATCACTCACTGCTGCAAAGAGAAATCTGAGAAAACAATGACAGTTACTGTGGCAGTTAAGCAACAGACTTTCTTCCTGAGTTCAGAAAAGCAAATGCATACTCAAAGGAGCAAGTAAGCATAGACTTTGATCATAAAGTTTTACTATATGAATATGGTATATGTATTGTACATGATATATGTATTATATTTATGAAAAATGAGGCTTCACTGTATAAATATTCTCAACACTTCAGGGCAAGGATTTAATAACACAGAAAGCTAAGTGGCAGTGTACAAGCAGTCAATATTTAGGATACTTGATTTATTTAGTGCATGCTGTGGGATGTTGTATTATAAAATAAGGTTACTTGTGTGATAAAACTCTCACTGACTCTAAACAGGGTCTAGAAAAACATGTGTTTCCAATGACATGTTATTTCCTTTCCTGCCAGGAATTCCAGTTACATGTTATTGTCTTTTCTGATAGGAACTCATAGAATACTACAAGCACCACTCTCTCAAAGAAGGTTTTCGAAGTCTAGATACTACTCTCCAATTTCCATACAAAGAATCTGAAAACACAGTGGGACAAAGGAGTAACAGAACAGGTGGCAACTGTGAGTATCTTATACTTATCTCCTGTTTCCTATCATTTAAATATTTAAAGCACAAGGTACTTTCAACATCTTTATTTTCCATTTTTGGTATATAAACGATTAATATGATAGTGCTTTTAGCCAGGATTTTTGTGAAGCTGAGCACATTCAGAACTGCCATGAGGTTTATAAACAGGTCTGGTAAGCTTGTCTTGTTGCTTGAGACTCATCTTGAAACTTAAAATCTCTCTGATGAATATTATTTAGGAATTATATATAGGAATGCTGGCGAGAGATTAAGCTGCATCCTGCTTAAGTTTTCAAACATTTGCATAGGTGCAGCTACAGGTGTTAAGTATCCATTACAATTGCTGATCCTTAAAAGGATTTAATCATCGATCTTGTAACCATGTGAACTAGCATTTTGATAATACCACATACATTTCTCAAACTCTATATTCTGGTATAGTGAACTGATTCACTATATCATGATTATTTTTACGCTTTCTTGTTAAGCTTCAAAGTTTATTGCAGATCTGTGTGCTTCTAGCTGTTAATGAAATAATGTACAGTTTAAATAGCACTTAAAATTTTGAAGTAAACTGAGAAGATTTATCATGTCTCCTTTATTCATGCTCCTTTATTTAGCATGTTACTACAAAATGGAAGTTGGCATGGTTTTTGGAACACATAAAAGTTCAATGTTAATGATAAAAGAACTACCACATGGCCTATAAAAAGTATTTAAAGTTTCTGTCAAATAGCAAATATTAGATTTGCTGCTCTGCTGTGCCAGATAATAAGAGGAAAATAAAAATTAATGGGAATTTTAACAATAGGAAGACTGTTGTGAAGACCATGGAGTCCAGTGTAGACTTTGCAATGATGGAGCTGGCTGCGTGATTATCATTTACTGTGTTCATTAGCTTTTGTTTACTTCCCTGTCTCTGTTACATAATATTTCTATAGCTTTAGAGACTTTCTTCCTCCTAATTGAAGCAAAGATAATTTAGGATAGATTATTGTAAGAAACGAATGTGTCTGTACATTTCATTTACTTTGTCTCTATCCTAGTTCTGCTTTATTTCTTTCATTCCTGTTTTCTTCCACCAATTGCTGTGGAAGAGTCCTGTCAGGTTGCTATACAATATCTCAGTGCACCCTCTTTGGTGACTTTATTTGTCCAGATCTTTCTTTTTACCTTTGGTTTTTATTCTGCCTTTGCTGCTCTGCCTCTCCTCACTTCTTGTGCTCTCCTTTGCTAGACCTTTTGCAACATCAAGGTTTTAGCTGTCACAGAGGGCCTGAGCTGCTTGCTTTTCTTTGCTTTTGTTTGGCTTAGTACCAAAATGTTTGGTTATTACTGGTTCTGAGCAGAAACTTCTTATGCAAGCTGGAAGGTATCTGTTCTATACATTAACTTACTATGGTACAGAAGTTTTAGCTCAAGCATTTCACGTTTCACAGGATACACCACGTGCATGGGGCGTCCTCATTAACTTTACCTTCAAAAGGAAACATTTCCTTTAAGAAGACTCTTTTTTAAGGCAATATAGGGAAAGGTAAGAGAAATAGATGTGGGATGCATCACCCATAGTTAAGGGGGTAGGTGCTTATCTGCTGAAGTGAATTTCAGCCATTTAATGCTACAGGATATATTGGAGGGGTCTGTAGGCCTGACTTCGAGTCCTGCAACTCAGGATGTGAAACCCAATAGCTTTCCAGAGCTGTGCCAGCATACCTAGTTAGTCTGACTCTGGATAACACTTTGATTAGTCAATTTGACAGTTTTCTTTTGAAGCATCAGCATGTCCTGGTGAGGTGTTTTAAGCAAAGTTTCCCTGATTAACAGCCCATCTGTGAGTTATGCTGCTCAGTTTTATAGCTGTCCTGTTAGTTTTCACCAAGTTGATGCTGGAATAACCATATATCTAGGCTATGAGAGCCCTGCAGGGCTGAATCTGGAAGGAAGTTGGTAAGTTTTAGGCTTAGGATTCCTTTAGAAGAGGAACCAAGTTGTTCACCAGGTGGTGGCTGGACATGGGGGTGTTCACCTTGCTTCAGCCCTCAGAGGGAACCTCTGCACAGCTAGTGGCTTGGTTCTCTTTCCATCCAATTTCAAGGCAAGAAAGACTTGTTGAAAGCAGACCAGCAAGTTAGTGGAGGGGGAAGAGGGACACTGCCTTAATTTGCAGCTGTGCAACTTCTTAATGCCACATTTACTGTATTTTAACAAGCACAGTGCTGAGGCTAGTGAGAGCAATGGCTTTGACAGCTTGAAGCTGGAATTAATGTTTAAGTTTTCAACTCAGTATTGTGTGCTATTTCATTCATTTGACTGTGTATCTGGATTTTTTAATGAAACCATTTTCCTAACTGAAATGAATTACAAGGCACCAGTTGCTGCTTATTCAAAACAGCTGGTCTTTAGTGTATATATAACCCACAGAATAAACAAGATAATTATTTCTTAGAAGCATCAGATGATCTACTATAGGCTTTGACAAAGTTGTGGTGGTGTGCTTATGAAATTGAATGGCAATACAACATTAACTTCATTTTCTAGAAAAATCTGAGACAGGATTTTTTTCTCCCCTAAATTGTCATGATTTAATTTACCTATTAAAACAAATAAAATCAATTGGTATTTCAGTTTACTTGTGAATCATAATAAATCACCTTGCAACATCTTCAGTTTTCAAGCAAATTGATCTCCGTTCATTATCTATTAGTTTTTAGAATGAAATCTTCATTTTGTGGCTACAGTTAATTTGGCTTGCTATTTTACCATGAAATTTTCCTTTCACTCTCCAGACCTAGCGAAACTCACCCCCTTTCAGTTCACCAGGTTGTCACCCAAAGCTCCAGTTGTATCAGAAATAAAAGTTTCTCGAGAAATGAAGATGCTGTAGGGAAGCCCCAGCTGCCTGCTGTGTAGCACCTGCTGTATCTCCATCCCTGCTTGCTCGCTATCCTCACCCCTCCGGAGCCGCTGAGGCAGTTGATTGTCCCCGGAGCTGGCTCCCCTCTTAGGCAAACCCTTTGTGGTCTGAGCAGCGTCCTTGGGCACCCAGCTGTCCTGGGCTCGCTAGCTGTGCTCTGAGGAACAGGATCACTGCTGCATTCACGGGCCATGCATGAGCTCATGGAGCTGGGAAGCGATCCTTGCTGCGGAGGAGCACATGGGAGATGCTGAGGAACAGGAGGGAGTACGTTGCTTCTGTGCTTATTTACTGGTGCAAACCTAAACTGCCCTTCACCTAAGGGCTCTCAAAACAAATCAACCACAGCTTTCATGTGTGCAAACATGATACTAGTCCTGTTTGTTTTATTTGTGCTCACTGTTTCATTGTCATAAATGCATGTTTTCTCACTCAGGTAAAATTGAGTCTGAGCTTATTCTTTGCATAAAGTAACTCTAGTCTCTGTTCCTGGGAAAAAAAATGAAGCAAAATGGTTTTGTTTCATGTGCAGTCACAATAATAAATTCAGGGGAGCAGCTTTATGTGATGGATATAACCCTGCTGCATCTTTTTTTTATTAAAGAACGCTGGTCTTCAATAATAGATAGGTATTTTGGATCTTATCTTTTGGGCCTCATTTAGAGGGCAGATGATCCTTAGTTGAACTGGGGCTGGATAACTTCCCGTGTGCACAGCCAAGAACAAAGACCACCCAGAATTACTAGATTTTATATATTATATTGTACCTTTATTCCTTTGTGAAAATAATGACAAAATCTGAAAACAAATGGACAGACCGTGCTTCCATTTGAAACCGTGTCATTTCTAATGAAGTCCATTTGATGTCTATTTTTGCCTTTAAAGACAGGCTGGCTCCATAGGTTTGTGGACAGTAGAGCCAACACACACCTAACCCTTCGCCTGAGAATGCGGCCGCAGAGGCTGCGGTGTGTGTGGTTCTGCCGGGGCCAAACTTGTGCCATTTTGTTGTTTACGGCTTTTCCCTCATGTCCATGAAAACTGCAAAGATGAGAAGTGTGTCCTTAGGGGATGTGGTTCAGCTGTGGAATTCCTGCTTTTTTATCTGGGCCCACTACGAGCATCTTTCTGTGCGTGTTGTGAGACTCCAACTCAGTTGTTACTTAGAGGATCTTCCTAACTGAGGGCATGTGGTGAGTCCTCCTGAGCTCCAGAGGATTCCTATGTGCATGGGAGTTCCTGTGTGTCTTTGTGTTTTTGTTCCTGCTTTCTAAGTGGGGCACGCAAAATTAAAAAAGAAAAAACTGTTATATTTACTAAGACCCTGCAGTTTTAATTTGTTTCTCTGAATCCCTAAATGGGTGCTTTCTTTCTATTTTACTCTTTAAAAAAAATGCAATTGTTAAAAATTAAATCATAGATCCAAATTTTCTAGTTATTACAGTCAATTTCCTTCCAGACATCCTTAGTGGGGAACCTTAGTTTCCTTATTACCAATGAATTACATAGTTTAAAGACTATTATTTAAATCTTGTGCCAATATTTCAATGTTGTTCTGCTTCTCTCTTTTTCTCTTTTCTTTCTCTAAGCCCCTTCTTCTTTGTTCTGTGGGTTTTCTTTTGTAACTCCTCCAGACTACAGCTTTGTTCCCCCTTCATCCACTCCTTTCTGGTCAGGTACTGCTTTTCTGCTTTTATATTTCTTCTAAATTTGTTTGTTTCTGTGTGTAGCAAGCTAGGGAAGGGACGAATCTATTTTTTCAGTTCTTGTCTGACTAAAACCTGAGTAATTAGATGACATGACCAGGTAGCCTGATGTGGAGAGTTACTATTCTTGCAGTGTAACAAAAACCAAATGCTTCCTAAACTTCTGAAAAGTGTACGCTACAAAAAGGAGAGCTTGGGCAGCTGGAGCACAAATCTGCAGTTGTGCAAGATTCAGTCAAGGATCGGTCAGCCTTTAATTTGCTATCCAGTCATGATGCCTATGAGCAGCATTATATTTTAATGTAGTTGTATAAATATACAAACCTGGAAATTGCACTGCTTATAGATAACTGATGTATTCGTCCCATCCCTCTAGCAAACCGTACTGCAGCAGCATCTTAGAATATAGTTGCTTGTATTTTGTAGCAAATGTTTTCTTTAAATTCTGCATTAACATTGCCAGTTAATTTTACTCATCTGTTTTCCAACTGTACCCGTGTTGCGTTCTTTATTCTCCTTTAATCTTTTCTGGCTTTAATAAATGCAAACATTTTAAACGAAGGACTGCTTAAAAATGCTTGAAGTAGCAGCATTGCTAGTCTAAATTAGTGGACCAGATGGGAGTTATGGGGGTTATGGAGATGCAGTCCTCAAAGAGGTGAGCCCAAAGGACCTTGCCCACAGGAAGGGGAACGCCAGGAGGACCTGCTGTGAGACGGGGGGAACAGCAGTCACTCCTGTCACCTTGGTGCGTCTCGTCTATTGGTGCTGAGCGGGAGTCCTGGGCCGAGTGCTTTATCAGAAAACTTCTAAGTAACTGTAATAAGACGTAGTATCTTGTATGTCACAATGTGCTGCATAGATTTTCCATATAAAAAGTACAAAATAGTAAATGAAGGTGTTGGCTAGTTGTTCTAAATTCAATTTTATCAGGCTTAAAGGGATTTCCCATTTCGATAGGTGTTGGTAGTAAAACCATATCTTTTTAAAGTATTTGAGAACTTGCTTACATTACTATGCAACAATTACTTGTTATTTATTGTAAGTGTCTTTTCAAAAGCGTCTTCCATGCTGGCTGAGCTCTGCGGATGGGGAAGCTGGCATGGCAGGAGGAAGGGCTACGACAGCGCAGCGAGCACTGCCCCTGCTGTGTGGTGGGACTGGGGGTTCCATAAACCCTGCCAGGAAACGTGAGCTGCTTCGAGGAGCCCGAATACCAAGAAGGGCCCCTAGGGGATATGGCTGCAGAGTTCCTGGGAGGCTTTGCCACAAGGAGAGAGGAATAGCTGCTCACAGGTTGTGTTAACGATGCAGTGACCCACAGGGAACTTGGCACAGGCAGGAATGTGAGCGGGGTCAGTCTGCTGGGAGCCCCTGGAGCTCCCCTCATCGCACCCCCGTTGCCTCATGGTTGGCCTGAGCTCGTAGTCAAGTTCCGTTGGAGCCGACAGGCCCTGTTGCTGCTGAGCAGCTCTTCCCCGCTGGGATGAGGCGGGTTGCCCGCAGTGCCTGCCCTCTGCTTTCCCTGCTGCGTGCCAAAGGGAGGGCCTGGCTAAAAGGAAAAGGATTTTTCAGTTTACCTGCATAGCTTTTATTCAGTGGTCTCGGACTTTTCTATTTCTTATTCATCCTCCCAATCCTTCCTTCCTTCCTAATTCAGAGATTCATTTACTACTGCTTCCTCTCTTAGTAATTCTATTTTTTTTCTTTTAGTTCGCATTCATGTTCTCTTGTTGAGCTCTTTTTTCCCCGCCTGTCTCTACTGCTACTCCCTTGTGTCTCTGCTCCTCACTCTCCCTGTGGCTACCATTTCTGCCTGCTTCATTTTCCATTTTTTCTTGCCCATCTTGCTGGCATGGGGTCCTCACGCAGGCTGCTTTCCCCAAGGTACATTGACCCTGGAGCTTCAGGGCTGAAGATCTCTCTTAAAGGTGCTTTTGTAATTATGGGAACCCAGAAACATGGGGTTATCATCTTGCCTAAATTAGCACTGGTTTCCCTTTCCTGGCCTCCCTCACTTATCTTGTTTCTTATTATATATTTCCATCATTTGTGTACCATTTTTATTAAAGAAAGAGAAGTCTTCCCTCTACCCCCACCAAATCTGCCCCTATTCCTTTTCTACCCTCTCTTTCCTCAGTGTCCTTCCTCTTATTCTTCCATGGGGGTGTTTTTGTTTGTTTGTTTTGTTTTGTTTTTTGGTCCTCTCTAGGTCTTTCCTTCCATCTTTTCTCCCATTTGTTGGACTTTGCCCCATGGCCGATGTGTGTATTTCTGTCCTTTGGCTTCTGTCTGGAGCAAATTTCCCTGAAAATTGATTGCCAAAATCCTGATAAGATATCAGACATAATACTTATGTCAGCATCTAAGTCAATAGTGACTGTGTTTGACTTGGGGAGGAGGAAGCATGTTTGGACTTTAATGTATGTAACCGCTTGCCTAGGCTTTGCAGCTTCTCTGTGTTGTGAACAACAGCAATAAGCTGAGATGCTGATTCTCCTTTAGATGGCATATTTACATCTTGTATTAAGTAGCTGATATAAGTATGCTCTGAATACACAGTCTGAAATGTTGGACTCAACTAGAATGATATGGTGAAAAGATGTAATCCCTTTTTAAAACATAGGGATGCCTTTCAGATGTTTCATTTTTTGCCCTGGTTGTAATAATTATTTGAACAGAATATAGAAATCATGTTAAATATTTCTCTAAGTTAAAATGAATATATAATGTTTTTATATAGTGAAAGCTGTTACGCACAAGCTTCTGTTTCTGCCAAATGTGCCCTCAGTGTCCTGGATGAGGCCAGAAGACACCATAAATACAAGCAGTTAGAACTGTCAAGTTCTTTTAGTTCATATGCCCTGGTTTGGGTTCCTGACTAAATCAAAGGTGGCAACTTGTTATAAACCTCTACTGATCAATTACTGAAGGCATAAATAAAGCTAGACTCTTAATTATACTTCCTAACGATGATTGGAAAGCTTTAAGAAATTGGTTAATGGTTCAGAAGATGATGTTGATTTTCTGTGCATCATGTTAAATTTTCCCTCATGACCATATTGCAAATTCTTCCAAAATTATTTTGGTAGGAAACTACCTTGTGCTGGTCCGTTTTGCCTGTAGTGACTTGTACAGAAAAATGGCCACAAAAACAACTTGCACTGGTTGAAAGTAAATGTTCCAAAATGGAGTGCTTTGCCCACTTTTTAAAATGCCCTATGGGAGTTTAGGTTTTCTTTCTAAACTGTTCAAGCTACAGGCCTAAATCTCTTAGGTGTTCTGTGCCCATGTTCCTCCCCTTGGAAGCATGTAGGGTTTCTCTTGTGGTTTCGGATATTCTGCAACACAGTTAACAACCATCTTGAGTTTGCTATAAGTAAAAAGTGTGGAGGTAGTTTTTTTTTTTTTTTTTTGGGTAGATTGATGTAGCTTAACATTGTTAAACATTCATTTCCCTGAAGCCTGAGGAAGGAGAAAGAAAAAGCAAACAAACTTGTGCACTTTAAGTCCTCTGATTTTTCTCCATGTGGCAAGATTTTTGAACAAATCTGTTGGTTGTTATTTTTGATTGTTTGATTTACAGAATAAACTCCTGAAAAGAGTCCTCTATATAAGGCAGTACTTACACTAACTGTAAAAAGGGACATGTACACATTTGCTGTGGAAATTCTTTGGTTTTTTTGTTGATGCTGATGTTAACTTCCAATATGATGTGAATTAATCCTTAACTTGGAAGTTGTTTTTGAAAGAACAGCAGCTTAATCTGTTTGTTTTTCTTCATTAGAGGTTTAAAGCTAAATCAGCCGCAAATGCGATTAATTTCTTTGGAAAGAAACTAGTGACTTGTAAAATATGTGGATGTATGTACCTGGCAGCAAGCTTTATAATAAAGCACAGAAGTGTAATAATTTCAACTGTATTCAACAATTGTGAGGGGGGTGGAATATTTTCTTTATGCTATATTTAGCTTGAGTATTTTTTCTGAGAATAAAAAATACTGTAACAAATCCCATAAAATCCATCCAGCTTATACAGCACTGACTTATGAAAAAAGCTGCTTGACCTCTTTAGTGCAGGTGCTTTTATATTTGCATAAAGTTAATGCCAGTGTATGTTGTCATGAAATCACTTTTATTTTATAGTATTGCTATTTATGTTGTTGTAGTAGCCTTCAATTAGCAAATCTTAATAAATATTAACTTCTGTTTCATTTCAGTGCTAAGCCCAAAGGTAATAGGCATTGCCATAGCCAGGTATGACTTCTGCGCAAGAGACATGAGAGAACTGTCCTTACTGAAAGGGGACGTCGTAAAAATTTATACGAAGATGAGCGCAAATGGCTGGTGGCGAGGCGAAGTAAATGGAAGGGTATGTGTGGTTTTTTTTTTTTTTTTTTTGTCTGTCTCATTTTGTGCTGCCTTCGCTGACAGGGGTTTTGCGCAGGGGTGTGTTCACAACGGCCTTGCTCTTAAATTCACAAGACGCGGCACGTCGCCGTTTCACAAGAGCCAGGCGTTGCTGCTCAGCAGCTCCTGGTTGCATTGCGTTACCCAGCGCAGCCCTGCAGCAGGCTCAATATTGGGATGCACTTGCTCTGGGAATAACCAAGCTGAATATCAGGATCTGGTTGGGTTCCTGTGGCGAGCTGGGGAACCTGGAGCGATTTCCACACCTCCCACTGCCAGGCCACGCTGCAGCGGCTTTTATGGAAGGCTGCTCCTCTTGAGGGCTAACAGCGCGGCTCACAGTGACACGTTTAGCAGGGATTTTGACAAGGTCACTGCACACTGCACTCTGAGCCTTGCAGAGCTTTGGCTGCATGGGAATAAAATTTCAGTTTTGACCCTGAAAACATAGAGGTTTTCAGCATGATCCTACTGCTCCTTAGCATGGACGAGGCAGCAGTGCCGGGACTGCCATCCCCGGGGTGACGTGCAGGGATGTGGTCTGCCCTATTTCTCTCCCGTTTTGTGAGCAGGGTGCAGGAAAGCAGATTGGCTGCAGGCTGGAAACCAAAGCTGCAAGTGCAGCTGCAGTAGATAGGGCAGGATATATTTGGATTTACCACTTTGTGCCATTTGGAGAACTTTATTTTTTTGTGCATGGGCCCACTTGTGATCTTAAAGTGAAACAGACCTTTAGCCTTGAGGAAAGATGGGGAAAAAGAAGAAATCTAATCATCCTATGAATGTTTTGCACATGAAGAAAACAGAGGATGTCTTTGTCACGCTTCTGAAGTGGTGCCTGGTGTCAGCCAGCCGTCTTCCTGACGGCCTTGGCGTGGCTCAGCTTAGGCCTCTGGGGCTCACAAAACGTGCGCAGTCGCCCGCTCCGTTACGCCCCAGGTTCGGTTTGGGGTGTCTTTCATCAGTGTTAAATTGACTTAGGGATAAAGGAGTCAGAGTAAAAAATACAACGCAAATAGATAAGACAATAAAAAATATGACTAGGCTTCTCTGTATATCTAATATAATCCTTACTTGACACATCAATAACTTGAGAATGGAGATAGCTTTATCACTTATGAAGTGTAAACTGCTGGACTCTGCCTTCCAGCTCTCTCTTATTTAAAAATCCCGTTGGCTGCACTGGGATTTAACTGTGTGCAATGCAATAGCAGTGCAATACAATCAGTCACTATTTTCTTTGTAAGAGGATTCCTGAGACTCACTGAAGCCTGTGGAAAATTTAACTGCCCCTGCAGTAAAACATTCCTCTTTTCTTGCCTTTCTTTTCAATGCCTAGATTTCTGATTTGGGCACGAGGATTTTTTTATTATTATTACTTTCTTAAGGAGAAGTGGGTATTTAGTCCCCAGATTATCTATATTTATTCTTCTATTATGGGTAATTGCCCTAACAGTGTCAAATCGGTCAAGTTTGTCTTTAAATCTTATTCTTATATTTACTAAACAGACCCATCCTTGTTTTACCTCAACTGGCTCTTTGAAAAACTGGGTATCTCATATTATTTTCTTCTGCTTTTTCACTTTCTTTAGGTGGGCTGGTTTCCATCAACTTATGTTGAAGAGGATGAATGAATTAAGAACTTTCTTCTACTGAGCATCAATTTCAGGGATTGTAGAATTTAATATCTGCTAAGTATTATTGGTCCTATTAACTATTCAAACAGCAGCATTTTTGTCTGTCTGAATCTTCCAGTCTTAATGTTGGGATTTCTGCTGAAGTTTGTGCTCGCAGTTTATTACCTTGCCCAGAGCTGTGCAAGAAACAACCTGCCAGTTTGTCATCACTGGGGTTCGGTACAAAGTCCAGCCCTCGCCTTCCCAGATCTCTGGAAAATGAATTCCTTTCTGCTCCTTTTCATTTCACATTGTTAGTACACCGTGGATACTAGCTATTGCTGAATGTTTAATAAACCTCTTTCTTGCAGCTAACATCTGTGATGATACAAGGAGATGAAGGCTTATTCCTCCTTATCACTGCATGCAGAAAGCAGTTCAGTCGTTCCAGTGTGCATAACGTGTAGTCAGTAGACTTGTCTTGAAACATCAAACTACCTTACTTATCACCTTACAAACACTTCCACGCTCACAAAAGCATTCTGAAGGAAATGTAAATGTAGTAAATACGAGTAGCATTCATGCATATGTAATTAGTTAAATAACTTCTTTTGAGGTCCGGCCTAAATTTTGTGACAATTTGTTTAAAGACAGCATTTTAAGAAGGTGTAGTGATGTGGTAGTGCTTGAAAGAGCATCTGCAATGTGGAATTGTGGGATTCTTTGTCATCCCGAAGCTTTTGTGTGTGTCTGTTGGGTTTTGTTTTGTTTGTTTTTCCATATGGGTAGCTGACCATGAAAGCGCAACTGAGGATATTCATGCAAAGATGTGCTTTTAAATGCAGCAGCACCAACATTAAATAAATATTGTAGTCCTGTTCTGTAGCAGTGGGCACTAATGCAGCCAGCCACAGAGGGGCTGTGAATGTTGGTAGGACTGAACTTTGCAGTAAGAATTTAGTTAGCAGCTGCATTCAGTTGTTGACCAGACAAGAAAAAAAATCTGTTTGTTCTTGTGCATGTATTAAATCTGTGGAGTCTAAAGAAGTAAACAGTAAAAGGTAGTCTTAGAAAAAGTAGGACTTATCTTCTTTAGTTACAGGCAGTACTGTAGGCAAGATGGTGTCACTGCTCAAGTGTAAAACTGAACGTTGTATTTTAAGTCCTCGGTTGATTTGGGTGAACTTATGGTGGGTGAACTTTCAATCCTCAGCTGTCTTGTCTTAGTTAGACAGGAGTTTCTGTCACTTTTTGTGCACTTACACAACAAAACACTGCTGGTTGTGTTATCTTGTATTTCCTCTCTCTTTCCCAGGGACGTGAGTGGAAATGCAATGAGTGGTCTTATTGCAGGCTTAGGACCCTGCAATCCCTGCAGTCCAAATTCCCACTTTAAAATGTGTGTCCAAGTTAGCTAGCTTGAAATCAGCAGGGCTCAAAAGTGGTTTCCCTGTTTTGGTGAGCCAGACTTTTAATACATACATAGTGTCAAAACTGCTGTGGTTGTGAGCTAAAATAGCTGTGGGTGATGTCTGCAGACATGCAGGTTCTAATATTTAGGGGTTTTGTAAATCAGCTTAAACTTGTGAGAAACTAAAAAGCTCCTAGCTGCCTTTTCCCTCTAGGCTAATGTTTTCCTCCTTGAATGTGACCAACCAAGAAAGCAAATTCATCCTATTCCATGTCGTCTGTTGCTGTTCCCTGTCTCCCTTTCACATGGGTATCTTGCCATTTGTGCGCACGAGTTAGCACTGCTGTTTCCACCCCCACTTCGCCTTGCAAGTGAAACCCTGCTGATGCTCTAATGGTTCAAGAATTTACCTCAAAATGATGTAAATTGGGGTTGTGTTGAGCATGTTACTTGACAGAACAGTTCAGAGCATTTGTAAATATGCAGATTATGCATAAAACACATTTTGTAAATGGTCTGTACAGCAGCGTGGCCTGGGGGATGCTGTCTCTAATCACTCTCTGCCACAGTCTGATTGGCTTTTGTGGGCCTGATCCTATCTCCTTTAGCAGGCAAAGTTGATTCTCTCAGTTTGGCTTGCTTAAGGGCTAGAGGCTTAGGCTTTAGGTCTGTGAAGTGTTTGGTGCTTTGCTAGATCTTAGAGGAAGCAGGTTAATTCAGTACAAACTAAGAAATGCCTCAGTTGTTTTCAGAGTCATCCTAAAGCTGTTGAGCAATTCCTGAATGCAGCAATCGGCCTTGGGGAAGAATGAGACCCTGGCTAACCATGGTGAAGCTCCACGTCGTGCTCTGTGCTTTGGGCCCTACGTTGGTTGAGTTAATGCTGCATCTTGAACTATGTTTTGAGTACCAAAGATTTACTAAATATTCTGGAGTGTCTCTTTCATGTGCTGCTTTTGCTGTATGGAGGTTTTATTGTCATGTGATGATGGAGTTAAAGTACTTAAATTTGTAATATTATGTAAATATGTTAAATAAACTGGTTACTTTTTTGTTTAATAGCGTGTGTCGAAATGTGTTTTTGGCTAGTGTGAAGGTTCTGCTTTGTTTTTCTAAGCACCTTCTCACTGTGAGTGTGACCTGATGAAGTTTTGTTTTTCCACATTTGTGTAAACCTTGTTTAACTGAAGACTGAGCTGTCACTGTCATTGTAAATGGGACCGTACAGGTTTTCATGAGAGCCTTTTTATTGTTAGATATCTTAAGATACCTAGATATCCACATCCAGGAAAATGTTGCTGCGGCTGCTGTTTTGTTCTCCCTGCTATAAATGATACTTGAATCAGGTTCATATCCTATTGACTTTCAATCTGTTGAAGATCCTTGCAGGTTTTGATTGAACAGAAGCTTTTGGGGAAAAAAAATGTCATGTTTCATGGCTATATACTTCCTCTCCCACCTCCTGCTTTCCCTCTGCCTGCAGATATATATATATATATATATTTATGTTTATATTGATTTAACATACAAGTTAAGGTTGAATTGAGCTCCACTCTGAAAACAGTCTCTGCTGGATTTTGTGGGGTACTTCCCTTCTTGTGGTATAACCAATTCATGCATTTTTTTATGTAATAAAACCTTTAATAGGTTTGTTAAAATATATCTGGGCAGGTTAAATGAATTCAGCAAGGTCAGTGATGGTAGAACTTCAGTGGTGTTTTCTTGCATCACTTCTGTTTTTCAGTAGCAAATCTTTTCTTCTGGAACCACCCTTTTAACAGATAATCATTAAACTTAATGAGGCATTGACACGTCTTTACAGATGTAAGGCATAATTTTGCTGTCACCCGTGAACATATCACATAACCAGGAGTTACACCTAAGAGGAGATGCAAAAATGTTACCCAATTAAATTCTCTTGTTAACAATATCACACTCGGTCACAGGCATTTTCCATCCTCTTACGTGTGAGAAGAGGTGCGTGTCCTGTGATGGGTGAGAAGCTGAGAAAACACCATAATTAGGGTGCAAGAGACGCTTGTGTTTGGGTCCTAGGGTTTAGATGCTTATTTGAAAACCTCAGCTTGAAAAAAAATGTCACTTCAGCAATGACAATTAGGCCAAGCAGGTTACCTTTCTGCTCTGCCTCGCAGGCAAACACGAGGCACTTGCTGAAGGAGACGGAAAGGTCGATTCTCAAGGGTTGACTGGTTCATAAAGGTAAGAAAGCGATGCTGGCTAAATAAACAAACAACAAAAAAAAGTAGAGTTTGTGCAAAATACCCAATTTCAGAACCGAGCTTTGTCCACTGACTGATATTCCATGCAGAAATTGCTTGTCCTGCCTGTTGTCAGAACAACCAATACTTTGAAAAAGAGCTGCAGCTGCAAATGGAATATATGCTCTCCTGTACACTGTTTTACGTACCGTATCAATGCTACAGTAAATGAAGTCTCCCCTGCTGCACCAGGCTGCCCAGAGCCTCATGTCACTATTTCATCTGCAGTTCTCTCTGTTATTTTCTGAGAGCCCTGCTGCTCCCCTTCGAGCAGCAATACTTGCAAGCTTTAATTTAATTTGCAGTACTGAGTTGAGCAGCCCTACTTGTGTCCAGTGCTGTGGCACATGTCTAACCTTTTCAGTCCCACAATGAGAGTCATGTTGCAAGGCAAGACTAAAGGGAAAGGGACAGGTGAGCCCTGAAGATGCTGCGTGTCCATCATCCATGGTGCATAAACAGTCGTGCCTGTTTTCCTCACGTTCAGTCGGGGTCATCACTGGTGCCCGGTCTTGAAACTTTCAATCTATTCATTTTAAGAGAAATTCGGCAGCTTTTCTTGAATTGTGTTGTGGTATTTTAGCTCTCACCTAGGAGCCCATTCTAGAAGTGCAATTTGGAGGCGTTTTGACTTCATCAAGCTGGGGGATGAGATCATAGATGTTAATGATGTGTACTTTTTCATAAAATGCTCAACTGTATGGGCATATAAAATTAGAAAACACAAATCTAAAAAGATTAAGCCTCAGAAACTGGGTGCAGTGGGGTGATTCGTTGCCTTATCTTAGCAACTTCCTTTGCAAGAACAAAGAGCCATTTGGTTTTATAGCAAATGAGATTGGAATTTCTAATTTAGTTTTATAATTCCTGATCAGCGTTTTAAGGATGCGTGTATGGTCATAATGTTGCATTTTATTTAATAAGCCTCCTGAAACATTCTGAGTTGTTGTTGACTTTCTGCATGTCTATGTGTGTGTCTGTGGCAGGGGTTATGGTTTTTTGTTTTGTAATGTCCTTTTCGGAAACTCTGTGAGTTCATTTGAAAATGTTGCAGTCTGACCTTAAGCGAAGTCCTAGCTCTGACAAATGGCAGGTTGGGAGGTGGCTGTTTGCCAGGAGCCAAGAGGCTGTTTGGCTTCTTTCAGAGCTTCTGTTTATGTTAATGCTGCCAGGGTAAAATGCGGTGTTAGGAAGAACGGGAATAGAGAATATCAGAGAACAGGGAGTAAAAAGTTGCTATTGTACCATTTGTGTCAGAAACAACCTGGTGTGTGATAACATGTTCTAAACTGTTGCACAAGATGCCAAATGCCTAATGATAGCATGAGTTGAAAACAGAAATCCTTTAATGCTTCTGCATAGGAAACCTTTGCCAATGCAGGTAGATGGTTTAAGGACCCTGGCCCAGCACTACTCAAGAACACTGTAAAATCTCTTTTATTTTTTAACTGCTGTTTCAAGGCAGTTTAAAATTTTCTTCAGAGATGCTATATTGTTCCTGCAATTTTAATTATAATCCATTCATAAGGCTGAGGAATTTTATAGTTGATATCCCAGTAGCTGTTGGGTATTTATAGTGTATAGTGTGCCAGGAGCACCTCACTCTGCTAAGTTGCTAGGTCATGTACGAACACTTTTTTTTTTTTTCTTCTTTTTTGCCTTTTTCCCAGTTATTTCCCTTTCTGAATCTTGAGTGTATTTTTATTTTCATTGAGTGCTGTTTAAAGTTGCTATCACAGAATGATCATCAGTTGAGAAACATCGGAGCACAGTAGTTTGCCTGGAGCTTTCTCTCTTCTTTCCTGTGCATTTGCCTCATCGCTGCTTGAGAAAGATTCTGAGTAGCTTTAAGGGGAGGGTACACAGAAA